ACCTGATCCCTGTTCAGTCATCTCGACTTTATCTTGTCACCGTTTCAAGCGGGGTGAAGGTTAAAGTGGGGTGGATGGCAGCGCGTCTACTTCCACCATACCTGACCACAGTCATTCGCTCTCGGGCAAATGGTGGACATCATCGCTTGCGATGGCTGAACTAACACTGGTCACTGCTACAAATTCACTAATTTTTTATGCAGAAAGGTTAGCAACGGAATGAAACTCGTCCAAATATATGACCGAACATTACGTCCAGCTTAAAAATAACTTAGCTTCGACTTTTTGTGAGTAACAAATGCTTCCTAATTCCTAACACACACAGTTCCGTCAATACAGCTTCAAGTAAGCATCATCTTGGTTTAACTTCTAAAAATTAAATACTACTAACGCTGTAGAGGCCTCTCCAGTCAACAACTTTACGATAAAGCGCAGTAAACAAACGTAATGCGACCAGTAAGTAGTAACTTACACATCACAGCCGCCAGCGGCTGGTTTACTCCACTTAGGCTGTTGGTCTGCCCGATCGAAACTCGCCAGATCACAGAAGAGGAGGAAGCCATGCATGGAGACCGGTTTGGATTCGCAGTTTGTCAGAAATCTTCCTGTTGTTGGCGACAGACAGATTGAACGGATGCGTACGAGGAAAACAAAATGACTTTCGCCACCGTGCGGAGAAGACAGATGGGCTTCCCAGGCCTTACTATTTTTGTAAATAACAGGCAGACAGGATAAATGCTTAGCGTATTTTTTACTCCTACAGTTTATTCTCTAAGCGAACGATAAAGATATCCGAGTCCTTCGAAGTACTTAATTCCGCACATGAATAGCAGACCTAAAAAAATTAGTGAATAAGTGGATACGAATGTTCGAAATGCAGGTTTTTATCTTAATAAACACGAAAACGGATCGAGCAGCGGAATAATTTTTCTAATTTTAAATTTTTGAACTCTGGCAGTGTCCACTCATCACGGCAGCAACACAAAAGCGAAGAGTTCTGAAGACGGGGATACAAGCCAAGCAAGAATCAATGACCCAAGACCGGAGATGACTGTCGGCGCTAGATAGAAAAAAAAACAATAATTTGAGAACGGACCTGAGGCCCAAACTTCAACCAGTTATCAACTTATCTCGATTGCGTTGGGGGAAATGCTTTGGCAGAACATGTAGAACATGTGGCCGTTTTGTTGGCGGGGGGAGCTGCTTGCGACAATGCGTCAGCGCGTCGCACCGCCAGCTGATCCAATTACGCATTCAGTCTGCCCTGCGTAGTTACAAGTACAGCTTCGGCAAGGGATGCAATATACGTCCAGAGAATGATACCTGAGATTGAGTCCATCCTTGATGTTCATAACTTTGCTGCACACGGTAGCTTTGGGCCAATGTGCAATTCCAATAAATGTTAGTGTAGAAGTGCTCTTGTAAACTTTTGAGACGCTCTTAATATATAGCAGAGCGTAGCATATCCATAGTGCTTCTGTCTGTCCTGTGTAGGGCCGAAGATATCGGGCCACGGAAACATTTTTCCTCTAGAATGCTGCCATGCGTCTGAATACATTTTAAGAGCTTTATCGCACAGCTTCGTCTGTGAGCTATCGGATGTTCGCTTTGCAAGCTGAATTGTATGGTGATAGAAGCGAACAACACATCAAGAGAAGACACAATCGCCGGAACAGGAAGTATATTGATCCGACATTGTCTCAGAAAACGGATTCAAGCGAAAATTTCAAAAAATAAGGCCAATAAATCTACCTTGCTCCAGCGATCGCAAATTCTCCTTCTGAAGCTGCGTATTGTTCGTTAAATTTCTGTAAATCTTCGTCGTAATTTCGTCGACGGGATTTCACTTGACGAGCAGAAGGCAGTCGTTACGCATGCTCTACTTCCCTCGGCGATTTTATGTCGGGACAGTTTCGGCAAAGCAATTTATGGCGGTTTCGCAACACGTTTTCCCTCTGACCATAAAAACATGTTGCCAAGGTAACAGTGCTAGAAGACCGATACATTTAGGGTGTAGGCAGTATTTTCTAGCTCTCATAGGGCTCATTCGGGCTTTACAGTTTGAGCCGCCATTTTTGTCACCCTCTCTTTGCATGTAAATGTTATTATATATACGTCAGTC